TGCAGATGACATTGCCCAGAGGGAACATATAGGTAAGGAAAAGAACAGGTCCTGCAGGTGACCGTGTGGGGGCAAGAGGAGAAACCATTTGCTGAGATGAAATGGAGGCAGTTGGTTAAGTAAGACTCGAACCACGCGAATGCGATCTCACTAAGGTAGATGAGGGAGGAGAGCCGATAGAGGAGGATGGCATAGTTGACTGTGTCAAACGTGGCAGAGAGATCCAGGAGGATGAGAAGGCAGAGGGAGCCCTGGTCACAGATAGAGAGAATGTCATTTGTGACTTTGACAAGCACTGTCTCTGTGCAGTGGGCAAGACGAAAACCAGACTGCAGGGACTCAAGGAGGGAGTGGAGGGAGAGGTGTGATCGAAGTTGACCTGCAACAATGCATTCCAGGACTTTGGCAAGGAAGGGTAGGTTGGAGATGGGGCAGTAGTGTGCGAGTTTAGAGGGATAGAGGGTGGGTTTTTTGAAGTGGAGTGGGTGTGATGACAACGGTTTTCAGGGGGAATGGAACAGAGCCTGATGAGAGAGACTCGTTGACCGTGTTGGCCAGCAGGTGGGAGAGAAGGGGGAGTTGAGTGACCAGCAGCTGGTTGGGGAGGGGGTCAAGGTAGCAGGTGGTGAACTTCATCTGGGTGATTGTGGTTGACAGGGAGGAGGGAGAAATGGGGGCAAAGGAGTGTAAGGAGGGGCTAGTGTCAGGAGCCGTGACAGAGGGAGAAGGCGGTGTGGATGGTCTGAGAGGGGTGGAAGGGGACATGGTGGGGCAGGACGATGCAGCTAAGTGGATGTTTTCAATATTTGAGGCAAAGAGGTCTAGGACCTCTTCGCACTTGGCGTTTGACGTGAGGATAGAGGAGGCTTGAGGGGGTGCACGGAGGAGGTGATGGAACATCTTTGGATTGTTGTTTGCCTCCAGGATGACTTTGAAGTAAAAGTCAGTTTTGGCCTGTGAAAGGGAGAGGTGGTAGGGGCGGAGGTGCTCGAACCACAGTTGGCAGTGAATCATATCTTTAACGTCCACCTGAACAAGTAAACAAGACCTCAGTGTAATGTCTCATCTAAATTGACTGCACCTCCAATAATTAAGGGCTGCACAAACAGTGCACTGGCCTATCAGCTTAATACCTTGTATCCAAGACTGGCCCAAGGCAAGCCTTTAGGTGTCATCTTGGCCCAATTGGTAGCACTCACACCTCTGAGTTAGGAGGTTGTGCGTTCAAACCCCACCTCAGAACTTTGCGCTCGCAATCTAGGATGACCCTGCAATACACCACTGGGTTTTGCTTCATGGTCATTGCCTTCCTTTAGGTGAAATATTAAATTGGGATCCTATCTCCCTGTTCAGGTGGGCATTAAAGATTCAATGAGATAATTCAAAATAAAAAGAGAAGGGTGGTTCTCCTGGTATTCTGTCCAACAAACAAATCACTAGATAAAATCAATCATTCCTTTTGTGGCTGTTTGTGGGACAAATTGGCTGCCGTGTTTACCTACAGAATATACAGTCTGTACACTTTACAATAAATCCTGTGAAGTGCTGTAGCGAATGCAATTTGAAACTTGATGTAGCTTCAGTTGTTGTACTTGTCTGAGAATACTGTAATACAGGGAGTATAGTGAGCAGAGCCACAGCTTACAGACCAGCAGTTTGATTCAAATCCAAGTCCACACTGAATTGGAATGGAAATGGAAATTCCACATACTAAGAGAAAAATGCCCCCCCCCCCCAAAAAAAAAGCTTAAGGAATCTGCTCATCGATGACTCACATCGCTCTTTAGTTTTAGAATCATTTTACTTCCAGCAAACCATGCTTTGAGGGGTACTGTATAGATGATAATCTTACCGGTAAAGTATAATATGCTTTTATTTGTCAAAAGCCTTTCCCAAGAAGTACATATGGTACATTGATACCTCCTGAGAATAAATCATGTTTGCATTTGATAATGCAAGTTTTCTCTTGAAGACATTCCATTAATTCAAAATAGACTGCTTAGCAATTATTTAATTGGACAACTCTGCAAAATGAATTTAAAATATTTGCCTTGAGGAGCAAACTAATCTTCATTTCAATTGATCAAGTTAATTGATGTAAACAGATTTACTGATGCATGTAGACTTCTATTTCAAATCTGTCTTCTGCTAATATTTATATCTATATCTGATATTCCTGGTATTTATGTAATTAAAAGAGAAAACATGCAAAAGTTATTTAGATTACCTTCCCATCTTCTGCTAAAGGAGTGTTAAATGCAGTCTCTCTGAATATGTCAATTCCTGCAAACTGGCTGGTCTCAACACCATGCAAATCATCATGACATAAGTGGGCTATCCAGACCCTAGAAGAAGTAGAGAGGAAAGCAACAAGGATGATCCCCAGTTTTAGAGTAATAGGCTATGAGCAACGCCTAGACAAGCAAATTCTCTTTAGGCGTGAGAGAAGACACAGGGGGGACCTCATAGAAATGAATGAAATTTTAACGGTATTGAGAAAAGTAAATCCAGATTATTACTTTAGGCTTGTATCATGACAGTATAACAAGAGGACATAAGTTTAGAGTTATAGAAGGCAATTTCAGGATAGTTACCAGGAAGTTTTCTTTACAGTAAACAATGTTTAGAACAGGATACCAGAAAAGTTGGTAGAGGCCAGGACATTAGATTCATTTAAAATGTAGTTTGATGCGGTGATGGGGGAATGGTAGGCTGAGTGTTCTGGAGGGATGAGATCAGAAGAGCCAAAGGGTCTTCTTCATCCATTCTTGTGATCTTGTGAATTAAGCAGTTATTGTAAATTAACAATGTGGTTCTTTATCCTTAGAAATAGTAAGTCATTCAGAATTTTTTAACAATGAATAAGTTAGCCCATGCTGTCTTTTAAATCCTGCACTTAATATAACCAATATGCGATGAAACATTCTCGTAAACATCATTGGATGTGGCTGGCTTTATGCTTTTTTTGCTGAGCCAGATAAGATAGTTAGACACTTTAAAAAGGTGTTAATAAATGCTGAACTATAATGTTGTAGGTGATCCTTGTCTGCAGTGAAACCACAAATTGATGTGCTGGTAACCATGAAAAGTTAACTTATAGACAGTTGGTTTAGCCTTTGCTAACTTGTGTAACAGGTGGAATTCTACTTAGATCAAGAATGTGGAAACCTTCACTCCATTATCAGTATGTGATTGAATCATTAACCTAAAATTTTCAGCCATTTTCTTTGCTGAAAAAACTGGTAAACTAGGACAATGATGGGAAACAATACCTACAATGTTTTAGAATTGGAGATGAGGTCAAGAATAGAGTAGTTCATGTTTGTGTTCAGATGAAGAGAAACTAACAAAACAATTCTAGTTGACTTTTTCCAGCGTAAGTTAAAAGAGATTTTGTTCCATAATGTTGTTTATTTTTAGCTGTTCTGCTATTCACATAAATTGAGCAATTTCCAACTTCGACTGTTGAAAATACTAGAAATTGTTTGGAAAGAACAGTTAGTCATTTACAACACTGGAAACCACAAAGGGTCTATTTTAACGCTGTAATGTAGCTATTGACAGTCATGGAGTGGATCTGAACAATTTGTTTCATCGGCATAGAAAGAGGGTGAATTGTCCTTGAAATGTAACCCAATAAAAGTATTTCTAGCTAATAATCTTGATTACCAACCACCTGGCCCAATAAAAAAGCATAAGGACAACCTCACATGGAAACCACTATTGTGTATGAGAACATTTTATGGATTTCTGGTTCTGTGCAAAATGACTCTTTAAAGACTCTTTGCAATCATTACTATACTTTGTGAATATAGGTTGTAAATAATGCATTTTTGATCATTATTGCAGGAATGGGTATGTTGCTGAAAGTTGCATTATGTTTGATATTCATCAGGATGTAACTAGGTGTCCTGTAGCTCAGTGGTTAGAGTACTCGCCTTGCAAGCGAGACACCTGGGTTCAATTCCAGGCAGGCCGAAACCTTGGGCAAGTTTCCTTACTCCACACACCTAATAATAATCCCTCCAAAACAAAGCAACAACAAATTGGTCATTTTCAATCCACTACTGTTTGTGGGACACTACTGTGCGCAATTGGCTGCCACGTTTTGTCCACAAATATACTGTCAATTCACTTCACAGCATATTCTGTGATGCGCTTTGAGACGTCTAGAAGATGTGAAAAGCGCAATATCAAATGCAAGGATTATTCTTATTAAATGACAGAAAAGAGTGACAGGAACAAATTTGGTTCATTATTGTGTACAATAATAATTGTACACAATAATGAATAAAATTATCCTCTTAAACATGATTTAAATGTATTCCTGCTAGTTCATAGTAGAACATAATGTCTCTCAAGCTTATGAATTGTTAAACCAAATTCTCACTTACAAAATGGTAAGTCTATGGTAGAGTGTTTTGAAAAACGAAAATTTGGAAGCCTAGTGAACAATGTTAGCTTTGTTGCATTTGCATGGATGAACTTTAGCCTCATAATCAGCAGCATGGTGTTGTTGTGGTATCAAGATGCAAAGCAAATGAGAGGCAGGCAGAGAAAGTAAATGGGACCTTGGAAGACTACTGTGAACTGGCTCTATTCCAGCTTGTTAACAAAGTGCTCTTTTTGAAACTACGCTGGCATATTTGATGAGTCAAATCATAAGATGGGGGAAGGGTGAAATTCTTCTTGCCTCTTAAATCCAGCAAGGTTGACAATGTATACTAAAGGACAAAATACAACCAAATTGCTGTGTGGGTTTGGGTGAAGATGGCCCTTCTATTTCTTTGATTTAATTCTCCCAGAAAACAAACACCATTGTCTTCCCATTCCAGCATTAAGTTGGTTCATAAATGAATCCAGGAACATGGCCCAGAAGGGTTTCTAGTAACCTGCCCCAGATATTGATTGCTACAACAACAAATTGCATTTATATAGCATCTTTCAGGTTGGGAGGACATCCCAAGGTGCTGGACAGTCGAAGGTTTGCACCTGAGCTGGTGGTTGGATTCTGAAGGGTGAGGGCCAAAAGGGGTGGCAAGATGACCGAAGCTGTAGACAAAGACAGTGAAGGAGGTGAGCATTGAGATGAAGGGACTCAGGAATGGAATTCTAGAGATTAGGGATAGAAAGGCTGAAGGCCAAACCGCCCATGGTGAGGCGAGCAGGGCAGGGTACCTGAAGCAGGCCTGTGCCTACTGATGGAAGGAACAAGTGGATTGGTAGGGTTTGAGATTACCCTCCATGTGAAGAAATACTTTGTAATGTCTTGCTAAAACAATCCTAAATATGTTGCCTTGTTCTGATATTCCACTCTTACTTTCTCTATCCAGTTAATCATCTGATGTACTGTATCTTTTTGGGGTTCCCTTTAAGAGTTCTCTTTGAAGCTGAAGAGCCATATCATATTTATTTGTGGCTCATGGGTTTTAATTAAGTACATTTTATGCTGTGTATGTAGATGCCGTTACTTTTATAATCGCTTGAACCCTTCCCACTTCTCACAATGATCCAATAATGCTACAAGCCTCATCAATAGTTAATGCCTAATGATTTAAAATCTGATTCAACATTGTTTTGGGTAAATTTTCCAATTTTAAGCAATTGACACCTCTATCCATTCTTTGTACAAGATGCTAAATCAAGGACTCAACTCTTCAGGTGCATATTGAAGCTCCCATGTTATTTAAAAAGAAAGAGTTTATTCCAGTGTCATAGCCTCCAGATAAATAGCCATTAATTTCATGGCTAGCCTTGGGTCCTCAGTGAGTGTAAATTGGCTGCCATTTTTACTTACAAATTGTCACTGCACTTGTCAACATTTATTTGTAAACTGCTTTTGAGATGTTCCATGGTATGTAATATATCAAATGCAGGATTGAAGTCCAGAAATTGTTTTTTTGTAAAACTTTCCACTTTGCTTTAGCTGTGATGCTGCTATCTAATCCTTGCTCTATTGAACCTGCTACTATCTGTACCTTGTTAATAAAAATTGTTAATAAAAATGCTATCTTTCTACCTGGCATATGTTTCTATGAATACCTATCGCTCTCTATTGCCTCATTCAAGAATCATAATTCATCCGTGAGCCTCAAAGGAGATGTTGATAAACTATTGGATCACCGTGGAAGGCATCAGAATCAAGCCTAACATTATCCTCAGCTGGTATTCACATATATATGACTGAGCAGCCATCAATGAGTTGAAATTAAAGTCGACATTACATACAGTAACTTTGTTGTGATTGTAATAGCAATATCCCAGGTCATTAATATCATTACAGACAATGCCAACTGGATTTTCAGCTTGAGTGGGAATTATTCCCCTCCCCACTAACCTAAGATGCTAATTATAGTCTGGCTACTGCCTATTGCTTGGCTGAAATTCATTAACAGAAATGAACCTAGGAACTTCCTGATCTGCATGACTCAACAGCTTACTGTATAAACTGATTAGAGGAGTTTATTTGATAGTTATTTTAAAAGCAAATTGTGAAAGGAAAACTCTTTAATCAGCAAAAGGTATAAGGGGAGCACTATGGAGAGGAGAAAATGGTGGGGGTGGGAGGAAAAATACCTACATTGGCATTACTTCTGTCCTCGATAATAAATTCAATGGACTCTTGAACACCGATGAAAACATTATAGAGGGTCATTCACCACGAGTGAACACTTTCGATAGATAGTAAATATAGAACTTTGTTATTTACTGAAACAAAAAATGTGTTGGCATTAAATCTGCAGACTTGCTAATATCATTGGAAAATCTATTCCTGGCTTTCAAACAGAAACTCAGTGGAAGAGTTTTCCTTAACTGTGTTCAAGATAATGTGCCTTTTTCTTTCAACTTATCCATTAACCTAATAGATTTTTTGTTAATAATAATAAAAAATATTAATCACTGCATTTTACAGTAAAATTTTATGATAAACTTTGAGACATTTTGTTCACAGTATTATCCAGTATTCAGTATTATCATTTCTTACAAGAGGAATTCTGGAACTGTAGTTTCGAAGTATAAGGTACACAGATTGACCTTGTTTGGGGCAACTATGTCCAATTCAGTAAGTGAATTAGGTGGAACATTTGCAATGTTTAGCTGCCTTCATACATCTGATATATGGGAATGATGTTCTGACTGTCGTGTTTCATAATTTCTAGATGGTGGATGAAAATAAGTTGCAGGACAGCATTCCAGGCATTCTCCATGTGCAATAACTGTGTCCATACTCAGCTGTACAGACCTACCAGACCCTAATATTACTGAAGCCAACAAACTCTGCCAAGCAGAGTGGAGCGTTGATATCTTGCTATGCATCATAACTCAAAAGTTCCATTGGTAAAACCCCCAGACGGAGGATGGGGCTGGGTGATTGTGGTCAGCTGCTTCATAGTGACTGTCTGCACCAGGGCAGTCTCCAGGTTTGTTGAGTAAATATATTCAAGTATTGGGAGGAAGGTGGAATTGGATCTTGTGCTCCACTAATCTGAAGTATTGTACCATTCTGATGAATTGTGATGAATTTGTTTGATAATTCAGTCTTTGATGTATTACTAACTGTAACGATTGTACTGATTTTATTGTTTTTTCCCGTTTAGGATTCCCACCCATGCCATACTGGTATCTTCCTAGGCTTCTGTCAGTGTCTATCTTGAACTGCCTGTTAGAAAAGGCATACAAGCCATATACTGAATTGTTGTTGATGTATTAATAAATAATAAATGTTTTCTTTAAAAAAAAGCTTGTCATATTGACAATCAAATTAAATATTTTTTATTCCATCTAGTTCAGTATGAATTTGTCTTCGTTTGTAAAGGAATATTTCACTACATGAATTTTCTTTTAAATGTGATTTTCTTTTGTATTTAGGTGCTTCTCCATATTTTTCATGGAGTTCCAGAATTATTTTGCTCAGGATTATGCAATGACTGCATGGATACATTCCACTGTTGACTGCACTACCATGATGTTTGGTAAGTGTCTGTATAAGTTGGTTGTCACCCAGACCTTTATTCGAAGAAATACTTAACTTACAACGTGCTAGCAATATTGGATTCTGGAGGGAGGGGTGGAAGGAGAGATTAAATAGGCGGCTAGTGGAGGGAACAGGATGGAGAACTCATTACAGTATCAATTGATATCTGAAAAAATAAGATCAATTCATGTTTGAGATGTGATTTTTTTTCCAACATCTACAGTTTTTTCTTTTTCTTTTTAATTCTTGCCCGGGATTTACCAGGTTGAGGATAATGATGTAATAAGAAGCTTGCAATGATGATGTTGATGATAAGGTCTTAACTGAGTGATCTAAGTAGGATTCACCACCTCTTCTGATAACTAGAACACTCTGTTCGAAAGGTAGCAACTGGCTGCCGCCTTTCGCCCACAAGATGTGCAGTCAATTCCCTTTACAGCTTATTCTGTAAAGCGCTTTGAGATGTCTCAACAATGTGATAAGGTGCTATATTAAATGCAAGGATTATTACTATTTCAAAGGGAGTTCTCACTAGCTGGTGTGACATACATCTGGATTCGTAAAAAATGTTTGAAATCGGCTGGTACTTTTATCATTCTAGATTTTTGGATTGAAGCTTGAGGAAGGAGGTAACTGAGCAGAAAGGACTATAACCTGCTAAAAATGAGAACATTCCACATGCCTGTTGAATCTGTGGGGAAAGTGTCAAGTTTTGTGTTCTGTTGCCATAGGAACATCACCAGATCAAAGACTTACTTGTAATTAAACAAATATATTTGGTTTACTTCCAGCAACAAAGTGTGAATAAAATGGCAATCACACTTCATTTAAGCAGAACTAAACTTTTATGGCATATCGTTGGATTTGGTTTTTACATAAGCAATTTGAATACATGTATACATATTATAGCTTTTATAATGTTTGGAAAAGCTGTAAATATTCTTGAACTGTGTGCAAATATCTAGTAATTTGTAGAGCAAACCACAACTTCATGGTATTGACATGAGTAATTGTAACCTTTTAAAATCCAATTTAAATTGCTCTTTGGAATTCTTAGTCAAGAATTATGCTCGTATGAGCACAATTGCTGTGTTGTTATTGCTTACCTCCTAAGACGGGTACTTAACAAGTTCTGAGAATAGTGAAGTGATTGTAATTTGTGTGAAGTTGAGTACAACTAGAACATCAATTCCAAGCAAAATGGAGAATGATACATTGTCAATTCTTAAATGAAAGATGCCTTTACAAAATCAGAAAAAGTCAATTTACAGTACTAAGAGATTATAGAAAGTTTTCATTCCAGTGATTTAGATCTCAAAATACTCCTGTAAATTGTAGGAGGCTACTGTATTCTGATCTCCACCTCCACATCTATTTTTCAGCTCGCTGTTCTCCAGAACCCCATCGATAAGACAAAGGAGTGGAATCTAGGAATTTTGGAAAACTGCATTACAAAGTGTTATATATTACAGCCCTGCATCCTTGCCAGGGACCCATGATAGTGTACAGACGAGAAAGTGGGGTTGTTTTAGAAGGCTGTCTACACTTCACGCAATCAAGTTATCTTTTGATTTAAAAACTTGAGAATCATGTTGTTTTGCCGGCATATAGCAATCCATAATCTTTTTTTTAATGGCTTTTAATGTTTTTACAGATCTTATAAGCGGACAGTTAGCTGAAGTAAAAGAGTTCCTTATTTTTGCAATGCATCCTTTTTTTTGTCTCTTCAGCCCCCGTTGGGAGCATCATAAGCAATCGGTATTCCAGTAGAGCTTCAGTAGTTCTTGGAGGATTGTTGGCTTCTGCTGGCCTCATTCTGAGCTCATTTGCCAATTGTCTGGAGTATTTATACCTGTCCCTAGGAGTGCTCACGGGTAAGATTTACTCTTAACTGCAAAATGTTTGAATACAGTGGGTTGACAGCCAAAATATCTTCGTGCTCCTGCTGAGATCGGATTAAATAGCGCAGATCAAGTCAAACTTGAAACGTTCTGAGTCAAGACTGAATCATTATTGTTCTGTGTCACTTATACATTGAGTAACTGTCAAACTGAGCTTTTTTTTCCTTTATTAAATCATGATTACATCAGGTTTAAAAAGCAAAGCACAATTTTGATCAGAAAATACATGGAAATTGTATCAAAATCTGCTGATTACCATCATTGATGGTTTCTCCTTAGCCTTCAATAATTGACTATTTCAGTCAATGGTTGTATGGTAGCAGTGGGGTGGGGGTGGGGGGAAGAGTTTCCTTTCAGATTTTCTGCTTCATGCAGCAGGGATCTCTCTCTCTCTCTCACGCTCTCTCTCCCTCTCCTTTCCGGTTGCCATATTTTTGTTTTTTAGGGATAAAATGCATTTAAAAATGTTGCAGACTTGCAGGCTTGGCGGAGGCACTTGCCTTTCCCTTCAATTATTTTTGGTCTGTTGTTACTATAATCCTAATTGATATTAGCAGTGGAGTCTGACTTCCAACCACATTTCAGTCAGGTTTCTTTGAATTCAATTAGCCAGTGAAGCTTGCATATAGCCTTTAAATTTGTGGTAATTTGTTTTTGTGATAAACCACTGAAGTGAAGCTGCCAGGCGATGTGAGTCTTTCACACTTAGATATTTAAAGTAATAAATTACCAATGTGCCAGCACCAGTGACTTTGCTGTCCTAACTCTTTAGATCTATTGAATAGTTGGATGCAACGAAGTAAGGAGACAGAAAGCAAAAGTTTTTTTTTAAAAAAATTGCTTTATAAGCGTGCAGATTTTTTTCTTTATTGGCAAAAGTATAATTCTGGAATTTCTTTTCTCTGTGTATATGGCTATGCATTATGTTTATCCTACAAAAAAGGGCTCGGTGGAGAAAAGATGCTTGTGATCTGGCAGCATGGATGAAAGTGATGAATTTAATGAGACTTTCTCTGTGACTTCCAATTGCATCCAATTTCTGAAGTGAATTTCTTTTTCCAAAGGCTTTAAGAAGTAAGGGGTGGGATGTCAGTTTTGAAAGTTACTAAGTCTTGGATATCCTTAAATTGCTTTTACTTGTAATTATTCTAGTAGCATCCATTACGTTGAATGATCAGTGGCGCGCAGTAATTGTGCTTCAATTATATTACATAACATATTACTCATGCAATATCCAAGCACTTCCTGATTGTGTTAACATTCCATTCAGTTCACAAAATTACCAATATAACAAGCATGAAAATCCACAGACAAGTGCTGGAAGAAGGGGAGTTTTGTATTGGATAAACACAGACAAGGTTGCATTGCATTCGAAGCAAGAGACCATTCATTTATCCGCTATCCAAACTGAAGAAAGATGGGAAGTGGATGAATAATTGACTAAAGTGAATGACATGTGATTCTCTGTTACAGGTTGTGGATATGCTTTAGCGTACACTCCATCCGTAGCAATTGTGGGAGAATATTTCCATAAGAGGAAGGCCATGGCTTATGGAATTGCCATGTCGGGAACTGGAATTGGCACTTTCGTTCTTGCTCCAGTGGTTCAGCTGCTAATTGAAAAATATTCTTGGCGTGGGGCATTACTCATCCTTGGAGGCCTTGTTCTTAATATTTGTGCTTGTGGAGCTTTATTGCGACCTCTTACTCTTGCAGACAATCTAACCGGTTCCACTGTAACTGAAAAGGTCACTGAAGAATGCACTTATAAAGTACAACATGACGATCTCCCATTACATTGCTCTGCTCCACATTCAGTCTTAACAAAAATAGATTGCAGTGACCAGCAAAGTTGTCGTTACTGTCCATCGTACCAGGAATATGCCTTCCTTCTGACACCAGACTTTCTTGTTTTTGCTGTGTCTGTGCTATTCTTAGCTTATGGCTGCAGTACGCCTTTCGTATATCTCATACCTTATGCTGTAAATGTTGGGGTCAGCCAGCAGCAAGCAGCCTTCCTCATGTCAATACTAGGAATCATGGACATTATTGGAACCATTTCATTTGGCTGGATAACAGACAGAAGGTAAGGGCATAAAGATCAGCTTCAGCAAAATATGCAACATAGATAGTCCAAAATATAAAGATTTAAAAGCCTTAGTTGTAGCACCAACTAGGATTCAGTAGTACACTGCTGTGCCTTTAGCTGTCCTGTCTATGAATTAATAGTCACGCAGGAGAGGCAAGTTTGCAATGGAAATATCATTGTGATGTGCTAAGCAAGTTCTGATAATTCTGATAAGTGGAATCCAGTTGTTTGAAGTGGAGGTTATGTGTTGGCAAATAGCAGTTGACTTGTCTGCCTTGGTCTGTGTGTGGCTTTATACATATATATCTATATAATATTTAGATATAAATAATTTTATATTTCTGTCATTATTTTGGGCCGAGCAGTGCAAATAGTTAATTTGCAGAGTCTTGGTGGTGCTTAATGCTGAGTATTATTACATCCTCAAGGTGAACATTTGTCACAATTGATACAAAACTTGATCCAATTGATGCACTGTTTTTTTAAAAAATCATTGATGTGCTTAATGTAACAAAACATTCTGTTGGTATGATATTCTGATATGTGAGTTCAATTGAATCTCCATTTATTGCAAATATATTTTTTTCTCTTGGAGTCGAAGTTTGTATTGTTTGAAGATCTTTGGACATCTCAAAGACATGATAAGGTGCTATAATTAAATGCAAGGATTATTATATTATAATTTCAAATAATGCTATTCTCCGAACCTAAAAGTGTTCCAAGTCCTTCTTTCGTGTGAAGGGCACTAAATAAATGTAAGTTTGTTGTTAAACAACAAGAACATACCTGATCATTAAGATTTTGTTTATTGGCTAATTTAGGTACAATTAAATAATTTTATTCTAACTACTTTTTTTTAATCTACAGATGCTTGAAGAAGTATCGCAGGTTTTGTTTCTTTCTGACCATTGGATTGGATGGTTTCAGCTCTTTGTTCATTCCCATTCTGAAAACTTTTCCACTCCTTGTTCCCTATGCATTTTGTTATGGATACTTTGATGGGGCTTATGTTGCTCTTCTCCCAGTAGTAACATCTGATATAGCAGGACACGATTTCCTGTCTTCAGGCCTTGGGATAGTTTATTTTATTCATGCAATACCCTATCTTATCGGCCCACCAATAGCAGGTCAGTAGTGTGTTTCTACTCTATTTTAAGGTTAGAATGCATCAAAATGTTGACAATATTTTTTAGTGTTTTTCAATCAAATGTTCACTATTATTGTAATACTCTACTTTAGAAACTTGACTTTTCAGTAGAATTGGCAGCATTTTCATTAGGTTGTGAAATATCAGTCATGATTATTTTCCCTTTAGCTACCCATTTAGAGTTTTTTTATTATATCGAATGCCCAGTTGTAAAGAGAAGTTGCCAGGCAGATGTAATGATGCCGCTTAAGATAAATCCAAAGTTCAGAAAGTGGTGATTGTTTTGTGGTGTTACCCAATGTATAAGAAAACATTAAAAACAAGCACCAGATTTCCTAAAAGTATATTAAGAAACCGAATGCTTCCTAGTGTGCTAAAAATTGAATTGGACTTTTGGGTAATCTTAGTTATTAGGTTTTAAAGCTGGTCTTGAAACACAATGAAAACCAGTATAGATTCAAGCTCCATGTTCAGATTTTAGCTAATGATACAATACAGTATCAGAGTGCTGGAGGTGCCATATTATGGAAGATCCCCTCTGTTTTCAGGAGGATGATCAAGATCCTATAACACTGTTTAAAAACTGAAGGGAGTTTCTCCCTTGTTCTGGCTAACAATCCTCCACATTGAATTGCCAGTCATTGCTGGCTATTTACGGAACCTTATAAAAAGTTGGCGGTCAGAATTTTATTGAATTCTGTGAGAGTATTTTAACTGTAATTGGTTAGTTAACATTGCTTCAAGTGAAACAACATTATTATATATTATTATGCAGTGCCGATACAGACCCGCTGGATGGGAATTGATATTTCGGCTAAACTTGGACACCTCTTAATCCGGACAAAACAGCTGTTCCAGTTTAACCGGCTTCCACTGTATTTCTTTCAAACATTCTGTGGCTGAGTGCTAAAATAATATTTTTAAAAATAAACTTCACTGAATTTACTTCTCTCTTCATAGGTTGGTTGGTGAACACAACTGGAACTTACACAGCAGCTTTCTTCATCAGTGGCTTATCTATGATGTTCGGTTCACTGCTAGTTCCTAGTGCTGATTGGATTAGGAGCTGCAGAAATTCAGTTAAAGTTCAAGGCGTTAAGCCAGATGTGGACAATGCAACTTTTCACAATGCACCGAACAATCATATCTAAAAGCAGGAACTGGGTGTATGCAATTAACATACCAGCAGCAAACTTTGTATAGCAAATTCTTTAAAAAATGACAACGTTTTTCTCTTAGCAATGTTTGTACAACTGTGTGTGTCTCTGTGGGTGTGTATTATTTTCAATGCCAAAGTATTTTGTATAAACATTTTTAAATGTTTGATCTTTATACATTCTGCACTTTTCCCGTAGACTTGCTAGCTGCATCTCAGCAGGTCACTTAAAGTGCCTTCAAAATGTTTGAGGGAAAAATACTCCTGCAGGGAATTGTGACTCCTGCAGATTATATACATAAAAGTACATCTGTCTTAGCTTCAATTTCGATTTCCCCCATTTACATTAGTGGTTCTCTTAACTGCACAATCTTGGTGTGACCTGTTACCAATTTAGTCATGTCATGTTTGCCTACTAAATTGTTTTATGTAGTATCTTTGTTTTAAGCTTTACATGTTAGTTTTTAGATTTGGTATCAGTGGGAAACAAAGTATAATTCAAATAGCTCCAGGTCAGATTGTGCCAGACAACAAGAATGATATTGGCTCACCGATAAAGATCCAAATTCTCTGTGAAACTTGAAGTACCAATCATATGTTCACACTGCCAAGGTAAATAAATTTACCCACCAACACAAAATTTCCCCTCCCATTATCTCTCAAATGGGCTGTATTCATTACATCCTATCTCTTAGACTGAATTTAAATTGTTTAAGCAGCTAAACAGACATTTTTCAAACCAAGTGAGGGAAAAGGGAACACAATTGGGTTCTAGAAAACTATTCTGTGAAAGAGAAGGGAGCACTTGAAATTCTTAACCTTAGATCAAGGATGTTCTGGGACTTCTATGATGATATATGTACTCCCCTATACTGGTACTTTCTCTACAACTATATCAGCATTGTCTCCCAAGGCAGATTTTACTAAGTGACACAGAATTATACTTTTCTCACTTTATTCAGTGATCATCAAGATACTTACGGAGTACATCTGTCTTTCTCGATGATGCCTGCCAAACTTCCTGTATGCATACAGCTCCAACCTCATTTGGTCACCAACTGAGACTGTTTACTTCCATTACGAGAAAGCAAGTGATAGAAAAAAAAATCACAAATCCAATGGAGCACATCCTCTCCAGATGCAGTGTTAAAATTGTCTTGTATTTGAATGAGTAGTTTGTTAGGGAAAATACACCCTAGTGTGTGGTGAATAAAGATGGGAATGGTAACTCTTTGTACTAGACTTTCTTCAAAAGACTTATTCCAATCCTACTTTCTGTTACCACCCTTTGATTGTCTTGTCATGATGCTTCATAGCGTTAATTGCCTTTTTGAATTGAGACATTTAGGGAAGGGCAAATTAAGATAAAACTGATGCAGCATAGATGCACATTGCTTAAATGTAATGGGAGTCACAAATCAGTATGGAGCCCACTTCTTTCATCCTAAGTCTTAAAGGTGGGGAGCTACATGAAGCTTCTCACAATGCAGAAAGCAAGTTTGCTGGAAAACCAGTCAGTATGTAGTTTACTTTATAATGTTTATGCTTATTTTAAATACTTGATATTCTATTCCAAAGAAATTTGTTTTTATGTTTTAGAATAGGTGATGTGGGATTACCATTGATTTATCAAGATTGATTCAATTCAATCGTTTAACAATTTATTACATTTTCTGTGCTATTGTGTATTTTTCTGCTAAGCCTTTTAAACCTGATAAGCCTACTAAACCTCCTGACCTCATTTCAATGTAACTATGGCACCTTGGTGCTTTGCCCATGTACCAAAGTATGATGACAACACAACAATGAGTTGAGACATTTAGGGAAGGGCAAATGAAGATAAAACTGATGCAGCATTGCTAGGAAATGCTTGTTGTTCACAATGTTGTTCACAAAGCAAGAAACCAGACAAACAGGATGCTGGGCTAAATTGTCAAATCAGTTGACTTCATATTCTCAGAAGTCAGATTCTCAGAAGTTATACTCGAGCTGTATAGTGCTCTGGTCAGGCTGAACATAGAAGGTTGTTGCACAGTTTGGTGAGTAATCTATAGAATAGAAAAGTGCAAATATCTTGTCATCAATGGGTTCATGTAATAAAGGGCATTGCCATTCTCTTGGTCTGTTTTGAGTAGATCCAGTCTCTACGAACAGCCAATTTGTTAAATATTTTGAAACCATTGTATCATTTATGGTGTATCATGTATAATGCCTGTGGCAGCACAATTTTTTGAATTCAGCTTTCGTGGTGTGGTGCTAAATTTTAAATACTATACATGCACACAAACCATATTAAAAAGGTTTGCTGATTGAATGTTTCTTGATTTGATTTCTTGATGAATTCACCTGTCCTTATTTGAAAAGAGCAGGGAGTTTCTCCCAATGTCCAACCCAACAATTCTGCAAATTGGATAGGATTCCATCTCATGGCTGCTGCATTTCCCTACCGAATGGCCACTATTCTTGGCAGTTACCTGAGAAGTATTTTTAGTTATTTTAAAGGCTCTATAAGAATACAAGTTTTTGTTTCCAGATGACAAAATTACACATTGTGCCAACACATCATTCCATCATGTCATATCATAATAATCCATCCAAAACAAAAAACAATAATAAATTGGTCATTTTCAATCTACGACTGTTTGTGGGACATTGCTGTGCGCAATTGGCTGCCGCGTTCGCCCACAAACATACAGTCAATTCACTTTACAGTGTGTTCTGTGAAGCACTTTGGGACAGCCTCCCGACGTGAAAAGCGCTATATCAAATGCAAGGATTATTATTATTATTATTATCACTGTTCTGCACAAAAATTTGGCTATGAGATGGAAACCATTAGGAACTCAGAGTTTGGGGTCAAATGGGCAAAATGTATAGGTGATTATTTTCAGGGGCTCGTAAATTACAGAAAGAAATCTGCTTCTAGTTAGACATAATCCTACAGATTTGAAGATGTTACTAGTTCATCTTCCTTTTTCCAGTTGCTGAAAATCTCCCTCGCCCCCTCTCTCCGCCCGCCCCCCTCCCCACTTCCACTGAAAGATTACTCCCACTCGCTGAGATTGGAGTGAAAAATGCAACCTGTGATTTTAATAATCAAATTCGTGTTAAATTGTACCACTAAAAATATCACCATTGATATTAATTGCTCTGTGGAGTGGCATTCTCTCCCCCCCCCCACACACACACACCCCGATTCAGTAATATTACTGAGTATCTCACCAAGTCCTTCAATGTATTCATATCATTCTATTCACACACTCCACACATGGGTTTAGTTGCAAGAGTTTATTGACTTCATATTTGCATTCTCAGCTAGAAAACATATCTATGAGAGCATAGATCTGAGAGAGCAAAGACAAACATATTGTGATGAAACTACATTTTCAATATTTATGCATGAAACGATTCAAAATTATACATATACTAAATATATGCGTATAAAGTTTTCTAAGATAAAGCGCTAGTAGCAATATACATTAGGTCAGTCAAATTAAATGAGAAACAGTTTTAAAACATATACTACATTGAATAATTCTTTCTAATCAGCTATCATGCAAACGTTTCATTTCGTTTCAGGTGAGAACGTTATTTTCCTGCATAGAAAGGCATAATTCAATTAAAGCATTGTTATACTCTTCATTGTGTTGATCAAATTTGGTTGCCTTTTCAAGACACTCAATAGCCTTTGGCGTCTCCCCATCCAATTGGTACATTAACCCAACAAAATAAAAGACTTTGCTGTCACTTGAATTATTGTTGTCATGTTTTTCTGCAATCCTTTGCAAATTAACGCGACACATTTTACCTGACCTGGTGTCCTTGCTGATTTTCAAACCTTCTAAAAAGAGGCTGGCAGCATTTGAATCAGATTTTTTCTGATTCTGCTGAAATAACCCATACTGTAAATATACTGCCTGTTTATTTGCATCATGACTACTCTCTAATCGAAGTAAATCAGTGAAAATCTGTTCTGCTTCCAGGTACTCTCTGTTACGTACGCAAATGTTTGCAAAATCCAATTTTGCAATAGTAAAAAATGGGTTTTGTTCAAATGCCTTTCCAAAATGAAACTTGGATTTTTGAATGCATTCCGTTTTCTCTTGAAAAACTGGGGCATGAGGAATGTTACTGACCGGATCTTTGTCCAGTGTAAGGAATTTGGATCTGTAACACAGCCCCATCTGATGGTGTAGGAATGATGAGTGTGGTGCGCTCTCCATGGCTCTCCCCAACAATGCTATAGCTTTATCGACATCGTCTTCTTTCCTGTAAAATTTGGCTGCGTAGCGAATCGCCAGCGAACCATCGGAAGAGACCCGCAGTGCGTTCTCAACTAAGGCAGAAGCTTCCTCTCGTTGGTCGAATTCTTGCAGTCTCAGTGCCAAGAGCATCATAGCCATGGATCGGTTTCCATCGAGTAGTAACACCCGTCGCAATTGTGCTACCGATTCGCTGTTTTCGCAACTCCCCACCACTCCGGACACAGCTTCCTTACGCCACAGGACGGTGGCTAAACCCAGATTCCACTCGGTGTCGAGAGGGTCTCCCTCCAAAGCCTGAATGAAACATTCCTCCGCTTCACCATAATAACCTATCGAATAGTTGAGCAGTGACCAACCCTTCTCCCCACACACTTCGGGTATCTGAGCCGCATCACGCGATGGAAATTGGTTGCTCCAGATGTCCTCCAGCTTGTCCAGGTAGGTCTGGGCATCCGTCAGTTGTCCCCTGTGATAATACACCCAGGCGTAGTTTCCATAGGTGACGATGCTCCTTCCAAATTCACTTGGATGGTCCTCTCGCAGAATCTTTTCGGCTTTCTCAAGGTTTCGTAGAGCTTCTCGGTAGTCGCCTTGCAAGTGGTTTACGAAAGCGAGTTGGTTGTAGGGCATCGCTTTGTATTGCACAAAATCCTCTGGTAAAGTTTCCAGTTTTAGTTTCATTTTGTCCAGTGAGAATTCCTTTTCCTGGAATCCCCAAGTGAAGTGGCATTCGAGATCATTCAGTTTCGCTTTCAGGACACCCTCGGGTTCGTTGCTGGAAGCAAAGGAACGACGTCAAAGCACTCAAGTTAAATTAAATGAAATTAAGTTAAATGAACATTTTAATTTTTCATGGTAATATTTTAGGCGTGACCTACAAACTAATTCTCGAAGTCCCGGGGCACAGCAGGAATATACATCGGAAAGCATATTTTAAGGAATTGGATGCAATATAGTTCGAATTGAACCGCAAATTAAAAGAAAGACCCTCAGAAGTACAAATGTAGGTCTGCTGTTCAGCCAAACAAAATATCCAGTCCATTCACTTTACAGTATTAATTGGCTCTGACAGATTCCAACTTCCCAGTTCCTTTCATCACATTGAGAGCAGGTCAAGGAGGTCAGGACTATTCTGACATCTATACTTTGGGCACTGTGCTATTCTTGCTGTATGCCATAAAATGTGCACTTATCAGATGCCTTTCACCCAAAGTGTTTAACAGTTGTGGCTAAGGTTTGTTGGAGCTGTGGGTGGGAGATAAGGGGGTGAGGAGGAATGATCAAAACCACATTTTGAGATGTACCTTGAAATTCAGATCCAAGGACACAAGAGCAGGAGGAAATTATTTCCAGGTTGGTTGCCTTGATGCTTCATTGGTAGCTATGTGCTTATTGTAAACAAATGCAGATAACCCTAACTTTTCATTTCAATGGTTGGCAAATTACATGCACCCTTTCTCCACAGCAGAAAGCGTAATTGATTCTAAATAGTGATGCTACAGTTAAACAAGCATAACACTTAATAGAAAGCTTCTACCTCATGGTGTTGGAAGTGCTGTACGAACGAATGGATCAGGTCCTTTCCCACCTTTCCTTCCCAAAGACTGAGTGTGACTTAATCTTAACGATCGTTAATATACCGTGAGACTCCACCTGAATCACATGATGTATGACATTTGTTGCTGGAATGAGAAACTGAAACTACTCCGAACAATTCACAACAATCCTCTTTGAACCCATTTCCCCACCCTCTGTCACCAACCTCATCCTGTCCTTGAAACCCACCCACCTGCTCCCTGGACCCCATCTCCACTCCACTCCTTATCTCCCAGCTCCACCTCCTTGCCCCACTTCTCACAGATGCCATCAACCTGTCCCTGTCCTCTGGCTCTGTTCCTATTCCCCTAAAAACTGCCACCATCACTCCCACACTGAAAACACCCTCCCTTGATGCATCGCAGCTATCAAGCTACCGGCCCATCTCCAACCTACCTTTCCGGTCCAAAAATTCTTGAAAGAGTCATCGCCTCCCAGCTGCGCTCTTTCCTCTCCACCCATTCACTTCTTGAACCCATCCAGTCGGGTTTCCGTGCTGCCCATAATACGGAAACCGCCCTGGTCAATGTCACTAATGACATCTTGACCATCTGCGACCAAGGCTCCCTCTACCTCCTCGTCCTCCTCGACCTATCGGCCACATTAGATACGGTCGACCACTCTATCCTCCTCCACCACTTATCCTTCCACCTCAACCTTCCAGTTCCTGTCCTTGAGTGGTTTAGATCCTACCTCTCCCACCGCCTTCACTTTGTTTCCACTCACGGCTTTTCCTCCAGCCCCCGCACTGTCTCGTGTGGTGTCCCTCAGGGCTCTGTCCTCGGTCCCCTCCTCTTCACCCTCTATATGCTCTCCCTTGGTGACATCATCCGCAGACATGGGGTTAACTTCCACATGTATGCGGATGACACCCAACTCTACCTTTCCTCCTCTACCCTCAACTCCACGACCACCAATGTCCTGACAGCTGCCTGTCCGACATCGAGTCCTGGACGAGAGACAACTTTCTTCAACTCAACGTGCGCAAAACTGAGGCCCTCCTGATTGGCTCGCGTCAGCGCCTCTGCACCTCAGGCGCTGACAGCATCAGCATCCAAGGCTGCACTCTCCACCTCTCAAAGCCAGTCAGGAACCTCGGCGTTCTGTTCGACCCTGAGCTGTCCTTTCTTCCCCACATCCACACCACAACTGGCACCGCCTTCCACCACCTCCGAAACATCGCCAGACTACAGCACTACCTCACCCCTCACGTTGCTGAAACTCTGGTCCACGCCTTTATCACCTCAAGGCTGGACTACGGGAACTCTCGCCTCGCCGGCCTTACCGGCACTTCCCTCCACAACCTGCAGGTCATTCAGAACTCTGCAGCTCGTGTACTGTCCCGCACCAGGCTTCGCGACCACATCACTCCCACCCTCGCTTACCTCCACTGGCTCCCCATCCCCCAGAGGATCAAATTCAAGATCTTCATCCTCACCTACAAGGCCATTCACGGCCTTGCTGCCTCCTACCTCTCCGACCTACTATCCCCCTACTTATCTGTCCGTATTCTCCATTCCTCTGGCTCCGGTCTGCTCCACGTCCCCCGCCCTAACCGCCCTACCATCGGTGGCCGGGCTTTCAGCCTCTCAGCCCCTAGGCTCTGGAACTCCATCCCCCAGTGCCTTTGCTTTGCTTCCTCCCTTTCCTCTTTCAAGGCCGCTCTCAAGACCTTTCTCTTCAACCGTGCCTTCAGCTCCCCTCTCGACTCTCTACCCCCTCTTCGCTCCCTCCCTCCCTTCCCTCCCCTCACCCTGACCCAACTGTCCAGCGCCTTGGGACGTCCTCCCGACGTGAAAGGCGCTCTATAAATGCAATCTTGTTGTTGTTGTTGTAGTATACCTTTATCTGGTTTGAAGTGCACACTGCATACCAGAAACTAAGTTGCTTTACTGTACTCGATGTTTGATTGATTTTCAGCTGCTTACACCTGATGCTGAAACATGGTTGATGCGATTTGAGCTCATATTTTTTTGAAAATTAGTTAGGCTGTTTTGCCTTCATTTTGTCACAAGATGGCAGTGATGATCAATGTGAATCAAGGATCTCAAAATGAAAAGGTTACAAATACCACATAAGACTAGACAATTGATTATTTCAAAGTTTAATACACATAAATGCAAGGTACACATAAGTGTATGAATGGGAGACATATGTAGTCTGTGGATGGGATGGAACTTGCCAAGTGGGAAGCTGAAAGAGACCTAGGTGTGTTAGTTGACTTATTGCTCACCACAGTTTGAGGCTGAAACAAACAAGATAAGAGATAGGATTTTGAGCTACATTGCCAAATTAGTTGTGGTTGGAACCCTCAAGGGTCAGACTCAAGCTCTACAGAGATCTAGTCAGGCCATAGCTGCAGTACTGCATACAGTTCAGATACATAAGGGAGGCTTCCCAGGCATAGTGACAATACAGAAAAGGGCAATGAGGATGATTCCCAGTGTTCGAGGAATAAGCTATGAGCTATGTTTAGGGTTCCTCAGTGTTGGAAAGAAACATATCAGAGGGGATTTTAGAGATAAATATAAAATTTTAAATGGAATTGAGAAGGTAAATTCAGAATAATATTTTTTGATGTGTTGAGACAGAAGAACCAAAGGCACAGGTTTACGGTTGCGAAGGGTAATTTCAGGATAGATACCTAGAAGCATTTCTTCACCCAATGGGTAATTAACAACTGGAAAGGATTATTAGCAATGGTGGTTGATGCCGGGATGCTGGACTTATTTAAAAAGTATTCGAATGCAGCAATAGGAGAACATTAGGGTAGGTATTTTGGAAGGATGAGATTAATTGAGCAGAATCTCTTAAACCTTATGAAAAGGGAGGTGTCATCCTGGCTCAGTGATGATAGTCTTGTGTCTGGGTCAGAATGTTATGGGTTCAGGTTCCACATCGAGACTTTGAGCTCACATTCTAGGCTGATAGTCTGGTGCAGAGCTGTGGTAGTGTTACATTGTCAGAGGTGCCACTCTTCAGATAAGATATTAAATCGAAGGTCTGTCTCCATGTTCAGGTGGATGTTAAAGATTCCCATAATGCTATTCGAAAACAGAAGGAAGTTTCTCCCTTTGTCTTGGTCAACAATCCTTCAGCTAAAATTGATCGTTCACTTCATGGCTGTTTGTGAGACATGTTTTTGTGAGAAGGCAATGTACTTCTACTTGGACAAGACCAGCTTTCTGAATTTCTAATTCTATGTGCAATTTGGCTGCTGAGTTTGCCATGAGCTGCCATATACAGTCATTACACTTCACAGAAATTCCTTGTGAAGCATTTTGGGATGTTTCAATGTTATAGGCATTATATCAAATGCAAGGATTATCATTATTATTAAAAAGTAGTTGATTTTTTGCTAATTTAAAAAGCACTCAATATATATCTGAGCAGGAATAGAAAGAAAAACAGTTAACAATCTGATGAACAGTTAACAAATTGTTTTTAAATGTTGATGGTCCTGCTTTGAATTTTATTTCATCTGGTTAAGACTAGGAGGGAACGTTAAGGTTAAGTACAGATTTATCATAAAATCAGAAGATTAATTCGGATGAAGAAGGCCTTTTGAACCATCTGATCTCATACTCCAGAATACTCACCAAACCTCCCGACAATGTTATAAGATTAATATTGTCACTCAATCATTTCTGAGCTTTGAAGGCAGTGGAAATATTAAATGTCTAATGCAATACAGTTTGTAATATTGGGGTGAAAATGGCAAATGTGATGTGATAATTTCAGGTGAGATATGTTCTGCAGATTTGCTTAATAACCTTTGAAACTGTCCCGAAACACCCCTCAAACTGATTCAGGTTTTCTTATGTTTATTGTTTAACAATTAATTCACATTTAAATAAGTTCCTGTAACCTGAAAAGCAAATCTTGTAAACCACTAGAGGGCGCTGCAACAATGCATATTGACAATTATAATAATAATAATAATCCTTGCGTTTGATATAGCGCTTTTCACGTCGGGAGGACGTCCCAAAGCGCTTCACAGAACACACTGTAAAGTGAATTGACTGTATATTTGTGGGCGAACGCGGCAGCCAATTGCGCACAGCAATGTCCCACAAACAGTCGTAGATTGAAAATGACCAATTTTTATTATTGTTTTTTGTTTTGGAGGGATTATTATTAGGCGTGTATAGTAAGGAAACTTGCCCAAAGTTTCGCCCTGCCTGGAATTGAACTCAGGTCTCTCACTTGCATTTGGAATACTTTCTGAACTGTGTTTCATTTTCTCAACTGTGTGTTCAGAATCAAAAGTGTCATTAAAAGATTGGCCTAAATGGTTAAGCTATGTAAAAAAACCTTAACCCACATGTAGTTCACATTTTTACTTCCACATTCAATTCATTTCAAGGTGGAAATTAAGAGGTGATGTCACAAAACAGAAATGAAAAAGGCCATTGAAACTCCTTATGACATTAAATTATTATTGTACTTCCCCCAAAGGGCTACTTCCTGGGAATGTTTATTTTACACACCATGTTGTTTGATGGTGACAAAATATTTTTTTCCATGATGACATCTCATATAAGTGGCTAATCTGCTGTGATGATTTAATTTTCCTACATTATCTCAATATGTTATCAGGAAGGAGAATATAATTTTTTTTTAGTTAGCATTTGTCTCAAAATAATGAAATAAGGTAATGCATATTTGTAGGAAAAATGCAACTTAAATTGTCCCACTGTCGCCAGGGCATTTCTCACATCATACTTGGAACCAAGAACATTTAAACACTAAAGAATATTTGAAACAATGAGCTCAATATCTAGGTGTGTGCAATGACCCAGTAATCTTCAGGTGAGGTAGGACTGTTACAATTCTTTCAGGTTGCAATCCTTAAGTGTGGCAATCTTTCTTTTTTGGCAAGCTGCCATCTAACTTTCCAGGTGGTTTTGTTTGTCCAAAATGATGCAACACTTGGGCAAAACTTAACTCCCAATTAATATACATAACTGGATTAGCTTTTAAAATAGATTCTGTTCCTTGAACGAATAAAAATAGATTCAATGTTTAGAGATAGTTGTAATAAAAAGGATTTGAATAGATAACAATTCATGGGAAAGAAAGGAAATGCAAAGTGAAGATAGATGAGACGAACAGGTTGGGCAACTATCAACAGTAATAATAATCCTTATCATTGCGCCTTTTCACATCTCTGAGTCGTCTGAAAGTGCTTCACGGGATATACTGTTAAGTGGATTGACTGTGAATTTTGTGGGCAAAACGGGGCAGTCACTTGTGCATAGCAATGTCCCACAAACAGCCATGGAGTGAGTGATCAATTCTATTTCAGGATTGTTGGCGTTTTGAATAGTGCCATGGGATCTTTATCATCCCCCTGAACCGGCAGGTGGGACCTCGGTCTAACATCTTATCCAAGGATGGTGCCTCCAACAGTGCAACACCCCTCAGCACTGTGTTGAACAATTTATGTGATTGCAAGTCTCGACAAGGGGCTCGAAACTCACAACCTTCTGACTCAAAGGCGAGATTGCTAACACTTCGCCAGGCTGATGCACATAACTTGGATTATTGTAGTCTTCTCAGACCCATTGATACCACTTTGGCATTAGTCCAACTCGGTCCGTAACTGTCTGCCCAGTTCCTTGAGACGTCCTCCCCATGCGAAAGGCGCTTCACAAATGTAATGTTGTTGTTGTGGCTGTAGTCCAAGCTGTGATTATTTATGACATGAACCCTCAAAGCTGTATCTAGATCGGGCACTGGTGATAACGACCGAAAGTTTAGTGTATCCGTTGGTAAATAATAAGAAAAGTCTTTAATATTGATAATAATGAAATACAACGAGTACGACATTATTTTGAGACCCCGCTGGTTGATGTCTATGAGTCTATTCGAAGTTGCAAACCAGGGGCGTGGAGGGGGGGGGGGGTTAACAACTGGATTTAGATTCGTTTCCGTTACGTAGTGAAATCCGCCCTGTTTGTTTAACGAAAGGATGAGGGTGGAGCATATAAAAGTGGTGCATGTGCAGCCTCTCACATACACACACTCACTCACAGTTGCAGCAATGAATTGCAGTGGAGAACATCAGCTCAACAGCCCGACGGCCCGGGACACGCCGACCCTGCAGCCACTCTGGGACCTCATCAGAAGTCGGGAAGCTTACTTGCAGTCGCCTTTTTTCCCAGTTCTTTTCTCCTTCCTGGTGTACATGGGGTTCTGTCTGCCTTTTGTGATCCTGGACCTGTTGGCAGCTCACGTCTCCTTGCTGAAGAAGTACAAGATCCAGGTTCAGAGTGACCCCAGCCTGGGGATGATGGTGACCTGTGTGCTCCAAACCCTTCACATTCACACGGTCTTCATTTTCCCACTGAGTGTGATGCACTGGTACTGGGCTACCGAGGAGCTGCCGGAGTTGGCTCCACCTTTGCCCAAAGTGGTGCTGGACATCGTGGCCTGTCTGCTCCTGTTCGATTTCCAGTACTTCGTCTGGCACTTGCTGCACCACAAGATCCCTTGGCTCTACAAGACCTTCCACAAGGTTCATCACAAGCACACGGCTACTTTCGCCCTGACCACCGAGCACTCGGGCGCCTGGGAGACTCTGTCGCTGGGGTTCTTCGCTGCCCTCAATCCGGCGATCCTGAACTGCCACCCGCTCACCAAGATGCTCTTCTTCATCACCAACATCTGGCTGTCGGTGGAGGATCACTCGGGGTACGATTTCCCCTGGTCCACGCACAGGCTCGTCCCCTTTGGGCTGTACGGGGGAGCTCCCCATCACGATTTGCACCACATGAAGTTTAAAGCCAACTACGCGCCTTACTTTACGCACTGGGACAAACTCCTGGGCACCTGGTCGGCGCCGCTCGACGCATCCCATTGATTCAGTGCAACTGCACAATGAACGTGGACTTTCGAAGAACTTTCCTCTGCCGGCCACCGAGAAGAGCAACAGCTTGCAAAAGCTGTCAGTGCGATTTTTTTTTGGGGGGGGGGGAGGCGGCTGGAAGGGGTTAATGTTGCACTTTAACGATGGTACGACTGTTTGAATGTAACTTTTTGTAATGGGTGTGCAAAGACACTTTCTAAGTTATCAATGTAATTATTGGAAAATCATGTTGTTTTATACCAGAATTAATATAAGCTGGGGAATTATTTCCTACGCGATATGTGTTACAGATTGTTCTATATTTAATGCACAGTATTTAATAATAAAAAAAAAGTTAGTTTACTACGCTTGTGTTGGTGTGATTGCATCCAATCGGAACAGCGAGTTAAACGGGCAAATATTAACAAACCCCGCAAGACATTTTAAATACTGATCCGCAAGTAAATTGACCATATAATCTAAAGTGTGGAATTCTGGGAAAATGTTGAGAATTATAAAACAACAACAACAGCAACAACGACAACAACGTGCAATTATACCGCACCCTTCAAGCAGGGCAGCGTCTCGGAGCGCTTACCAGAGGAGGTGACCAGTAAGCATGGTCGAAGAGGAAATAATAATAATCCTTGCATTTGATATAGCGCCATATCACATTTTCGAGGCGCCTCAAAGCGTTTCGAGAGTCTTCACTCGTGACCTAAAAGAGGGGAAGGAGGGGGAAAGGTGGAGGGATTGAGGCAGAGGGTGCCAAAGCTTCGGGGAGAGTGACTGAAAGCGTGGCTTCCCATGATGTAGCTGAGGATATGAGGGACAAGCAGGAGACAAGCAGAGTCTGGGAGAAAGCAAGTCAGAAACGTGGGGAGATACCATGGCGTGAAGGTGTCTATAGACGAGTGAGAGGATCTTGAAATCAATCCGTTTTATAGAAGACAAGATAACTTTACTTAAAAAAAGTTTGCTGTGATTCCTTCACGTAGGTAAATAATGATTTAAAAGCTTTTGATTAAAAATATTTTGAAGGGTAAAAGTCACTTTTTATTTCCAACTAAAAGCATATCTGAAAAACTCATTCATCAAAGCAATTGATCTGATGCTTATTTCAGCTTTCACTAAATGTTTTGATCATTCTAATTACACATGGGTTTTAATCCAGAAAATAGCAACTTCCCCTCCTGAATAGTGTGCTTTCCCTGCTTGACTTACAATACTTTGGAATTTACCACAACGTGCTGAATAAATAAACAGATGACGCAAATAATTACTTCCTCTTTTCTTATCAAGTAACACGTGTTTTCAATGCCCTGCTATAGATTGACTGCTTTCTGCTTTTGATTTTACCATGCCTCTGAGTGATAAAACAAATACAATACAAAATTACATTTGTATAGCGTCTTTCATGTCTGGAGGACGTCCCAAGGCACTGGACAGTCAGTGATTTGGACCCTCTAATCAACCTGTCCATTCTCTCCATTCACCAGGCTCTGGCCTGCTCCATGTCTCCCACCCGACCCACCTTACAATCAGCGGCTGGGTTTTCAGCTTCTCTGCCCCAACCCTTTGGAATTCCATCCCACAATCCCTTTGCCTTGTTCCCTCCTTTGCCTCCTTCAATGCACCATTCAAGACCCTCTTTTTCGACCATGCCTTCAGCCGCATGCCGACCTCTCTGACCTCCATCAGACCAATCCTGCCCGACTCCCCCACTCCCTATACCCCCCCCCCACCCCATGCTCGGGTGCTGATCCCTGACTGTTCAGCACCTTGGGACATTTTCCCGACCCGAAAGGCACTTTACAAATGTAATTTTGTTGTTGTTGTTATTGTTGTAAGAGCAGCACTAAAGTATCCAGCTAATGTATAGCCTTGATATTTGCTACTGATCATCACAAGATAAATGATACAGTACAAATTACATTTATATTTCGCCTTTCCTGTCTGGACGATGTGGTCTTGACACTTGACATGACTAGGTTGGGTGGGGGAAGCCAAAGAGGCTGGAGAGGGAAAAGATGACTGAAAGCACAGTCAAGTATTTCTGGGGGTGAGCTTTGAATATGGAGAGGTAACAAACAAGTCAGTGGGACTCTGGGATGGAATTTGGATACTCTTAAGCATGTTGATTGGTTTGTTTCCACCTGGCTGACCCCCAAAAAGGTTACCTCAAGTACAAATAAGAAAAGATTATAATTATAATAAGCAGGCTATTTGTCAATGTTGAATCAGCCGTCGGAGTTTCCAGGATGGAAATAGGAGGAAACAATCAACTGTCTCCACCCACCACTTTCTTCCACTGTAGCAAGAACAATTGTGTTGATAAGCAGGTTGGATAGAAACTTAACACTTTCACTGTGATGAAATCTCCTCTTTCAACAGCCAAAAATAAAATGTGAGTGACACTAAACCAGGATGACTTATTTTTAGAATACCTGTATGATTTATGTCAATTCAGAAGACAATTATACAATGGTAAATACAATTATTTGTTTATTTGTCAATCAAGTGTCTGACACGTGTGGAATGGAAATTCCAGAGATATTCTTAAAACTTTTCCATCAAACCACACTTTGAAGTAGAAAAATGGATTATGGCATTTACCTGTTCCCGGCTCAAAAGTGTGTGCCAGTAGAGACCCAGCAACAGGATTAAGTGTATCCTGACCATGTTGAAAGTTCCATGTATGCCACTTACCCAAGGAAATTTCCCTTATCTGGAATGGAACGTGCACTTTTTCACTCGAGGCACATACCCGGTTTCCCTAATTGCAGAGAGTATTAGGCACAGGTTGGAAAAGCCAATACTTGGGGATCCCAGAGTGGGATTTGGGGCACTGTGAGAATTTAACCAGCTAAAAATGCATAGTTTGCCATCGAAGGCAGTGTCTGGCATGCTTCCCATTGTTTGTTCAGCTCAGACTAGCCTACCTATTAGGCCTTTGACTTGCAAGATTAACAGGAGCCTAGTTGGATGAATCCCTGTCCCCAGTGACCAGCCTGCTTTTCCAAGGCCTGCAAAGAGCCAGGCTTCAGTCATCAACAGTGCCCTGGAGTACTGTGGACTTGCCTGGCTCTGAAATTGGTCTAACGAGGCTGCCACAGAGGACTGATTTGATTCGGACATTCTAATGCCAAGCATGTCACCTTGGGTGGGTACCTATAATAATAATCCTTGCATTTGATATAGCGCTTTTTACATCTCTTCTAGACTTCTCAAAGCAACTGTATATTTTGTGGGCAAAACGCAACAGCCGATTGAGCACAGCAGTGTCCCACAAACAGTCGTGGATTGTGTGACCAAATTATTATTGTTTTTTTTCTTGAGGGATTATTATCAGGTGTGTGGAGTAAGGAAACTTGCACAAGGCCTGATGGGATTCGAATCCTGGTCTCTCGCTTGCGAGGCGAGCGCTCTAACCACTGAGCTATAGAAAAATATTCAGATAGTTCGACCTCCATCTTCCCCTAGATTATCATGTTGGAAATCCCCTAAACGAAACCCCCTTATAACCATGTACTGAAAATGTATATGTTTTATATAACCCATGCCTATTATTTTTCTAAAATTGGTCACACACCTACAGTAATTAAATGTTAGCTATATGAGTCAAAGTGTCCCTAATTGTAGCTGTAAAATAAGTACTATCTCTCTATTTCAGTCACTTACATTTTACATTTAAGATTGTGAACCGTAATTGTTTTGAACTACAGCATATCTCCATTTGGGTAAATTCCAGTATAATGGCTAAATCATTCTCAAGAGCATTGAAAACTTCCTCCCATGACTTCAAAGACTGTCGCTTTTTTACTTATAATAATCTCCCTCTTAAACAGTTAAAAACCTCTCATTCTTAAATTGGAAAATGTAAAGGTAATATTCCTTGAGTGATTACAAAAGATCATATTAATCTTAGCCATGAAGAAGATATCACAATGCCGTCACAATTTTGCTCTTTGTGATTTACCTGGGCAGCAGTGGGACAGAAATAGAATCACGTATACGTTCTTTCCATTCAGTTGGCCATTCTTAATTGAACCTGATTCAAATTTAGTCAGATGTCAGCATTTAGAATTGTACTGGTTTGGCTTGATTCAGGTTTTTTTTTCAGATCACACTGTGCACACACATATTAAAATACACAAATGTCATAATGCAAATAGCAGTTGGTTTTCACTGCAAAAATGACAGATATGTGACATTTTCTAAAAATATATATAGAATCATAAAATCATAGAATTTTACAGCACAGAAGGAGGCCACTCGGCCCATCGTGCCTGTGCCAGCTCTTTGAAAGAACTACCAACTAGTCCCACTCCTCTGCTCTTACCCCATAACCCTGCAAATTCTTCCTTTTTAAGTACCGATCTAATTCCCTTTTGAAAGCTATTATTGAATCTGCTTCCGCCACCCTTTCAGGAAATGTATTCCAATCTGCATACCATAGCTATTTATTGATGGAGGTGAAAAACCCTTTCTTCTGATAATTGATCTTGAAAGTGTTAATGAACCATTTGACAGAGATGAGTCTCGATAAACCTTGCAGCATTCTAATAGTGAGATCACTCGGTAAGAGATGAGTAAAAGAGGTTGAACACTTATTCAGCAACATATACTTCTCATAGACCACATTGTTGCAGCAAACGGCTTCTCCTCCAGCTCCCGTACCATCTTGTGCAGTGTTACTCAGGGCACTGTCCTCGGTGCCCTCCTCTTCACCCACTACATGCTCCCTCTTGGTGACATCATCCGCAGACATGAGGTAAATTTCCACATGACACCCAACTCTACCTCTCTGCCTCCACCCTGAACTCCGGGACTACTGGCGTCATGACTGACTGCCTGTCCGATATCAAGTCCTGGAAGAGGGACAACTTTCTCCAACTCAACGTCAGCAAGACAGAGGCCCTCCTGATTGGTTTGCGCCAGCGCCTCCGCACTTCAGGCACTGGCAGCATCAGCCTCCACGGCTGCACACTCAACCTCACTAAGCCAGTCAGGAACCTGGGTATCTTGTTTGACCATGAACTGTCCTTTTTTCCCCACATCCGCGCCATGACGTGCACTGCCTACCACCACCTCCTCAACATTGCCAGACTCCGCCATTGCCTCACCCCTCAGGCTGCCGAAACCCTCACCCACGCATTCGTCACATTAAGGCTTGATTACGGGAACTCCCTCTTCATCGGCCTTCCCAACTCTTCCCTTCACAAGCTGCAGATCATCCAAAACTCTGCAGCTCGTGTAGTCTCACGCACCAGGCTCTGTGACCCCATCACTCCCACACTCGCCCGACTCCACTGGCTCCCCATCCCCCAGAAGATCGAGTTCAAGATCCTCATCCTCAGTTT